GAGCGAGCGGGCGCGGGCGCCGCGCAGATGGCCGGGGCGAGCGAGGTCTGAGGCTCCGCTCCCCGAAACGTGATCATGTGGATTCAACAGCTTTTAGGACTCAGGTGAGCGACCCGGCCGGCGACAGGGTGCGCCTGGGTGCGTGGGTGTCGGGCTGGACTGGAGCGGCGCTTTCCTCAGTGTTGTGAATACAAGGACCCCCCCCCCGCTCCCCGAACGCGGCCAGCACTGCCCGGAGGGCCGGAGGGTGCCGCCGTCTGGATCCCCGAACCCCGCGTTCCCGCGGGGAGCAGCCGTTCCTCTGGGTCTCTGAGTGCCCGGAGCATCGGGCAGGGCGCTCGCCCCAGCAGCCGGCAACGCACCGGCCAGGCGCGCCCGCAGCCCCAGGCGCCAGCAGCGCAGTGTCCTGGCCGGCCGCCCCGGCGCGCCTCCTCTTCGGAGCTCGGGCGAGGTGCAGGCTCTGGGAGCGGGGGCCGGGGCTGGCGGGGCGAAGCCGAGCTCCTGCTTCCCGGCGAGAGCGTTGCAGGCGGAGTTGGAGGAGCCCAGACAGCGCCCCGCCCGCCCTTGCTCTTTCTCTTCCTGGGCTCGGGCTGAGCTGGAGCGTCACGGCTCCCAGCTGCCGATCCAGCTGTTTTAGGTGACCTCCGGGCCCGACGGTCGCTCACAGCTGGCGGGCAGCTGGGGCTGGGGAGCCTGGGCTCTCGGTGAGCACCGGCAGGCACCCCTCGCTGACACACATACACACGCGCGCGCACACACAGGCGTGGGCTGGTCTGTGTCCCTGAGTCCAGGGCCAGCTGGAGCCAGGCGCGACGCCAGCGCCCATGGTGATCAGAAAGACCCTTCTCCGCAAACTTTGCCCACCGCCCAGGCCCTCTGGCTTCCCCAGCCTTTGCCTCCTTGGCCGCCCCAGGGCCCCCCCAGGGCACAGTTGGCCCCGTTTGAGGAGCAGACTGCGTCCTAGCTGTTGCCCTCGTGCCAGGGGACTCGGCTAGCCGGCACTCGGGTCTGGGCTTGGTGGCACCCGGAACCGGAGGACAGAGGTGGAGGCGGAGAGCCTGTTTGCCTTCTCGCGTCTGTCCACTGGGAGGCGCTGCGCTCCCGTCTTGGCTGAAAGGGGTCGCAGGTGCCAGAGCAGGCTGGCTGTGCCGCCCCCACCCGCGTGGAGCTGGGAGGAGTGGGGCGCGGCGAGGGGGCCCGAGCGCGCGTCCTGATTTTGAGAAATCGAAAGGGGGTTCACACGCCGAGTGTTTTCTAGCTACCCTTGATTTATGAGACTATTCGGCACTCAGGGCTAAATGCTGTTTAACACATCTAAGGACAACTGTCAGGTGTTATTATTGGCGTTCCTTCCCCGGCTTCCTGGGCCTGTTTGCCTCTGTGGGCTTTAAAAGGTTAATCAAGAAGCTGATCTTGTTGGGTGTTGGCCGAGCCTGAATCGATTAGTGTGCTTGGGCTTGATAAGGTTAGGCTGTGCGGTGCTGCGAGGTTGGCAAGAGGGAACATGACAGATTTGCCGGGAGGACCTGGCCCAGGTGCCGGCTGCCTGCTGTCTGCTCTTCTGCCGGTCGGTCGGTCGTCCCAGGTCTCCGCCACACCTGAGAGCCTGCGGAGTGGTCCCCCTGCCCTGCGGCGCGAGGTCAGCTTCCCGGGGCTGCTGCCTGGCACTTGGCTGTCGATGGCAACTTATTTGTACAGACATTTTTATTCCTCGTTGCTAAGTTGCTAGATGGAAAGATTAGTACATTTTGATAAGGGGAGAGTCGGACAGAGATCAGGAAGGACGCTTCTATTCCAAACGCTGCTCCAGATTCTCCGGAGCCTTTCTCTCGCAGCCCCCTGGAAGGTCTCTTTGGGATTTTGCCTTCAGAAATAGTTCTGCTGCTGATTTTGAAGTTTGACCTTTTGTTTTCTTACCCTCGATGTTGGTGCAGCTTTCCTGTAAACGTGCCCATAAAATGCGCGGTTGCCTTCTTAGATGCCTGCTGGCCAGCAGGGGAGGAGGCCCGGAGGCTGGGTGGGTGCAGGTCACTGCTGCACCCGAGGCTGAGCCCTGGGGCTGTCTGCTCGAGCTCCAAGGATGCACTGTGTCTTCCCAGTGGCCCTTGCCAGGCGGGGAGACCGCGGGCTGCTTGCCGCCCAGCCTGGAGCCTGGGGAGGACAGGCAGACCCTGAGCCTCCGGCTCAGGTGCCAGAAGGCCCGAGGCCCCTGTGGCCTGAGGGAGGGGCTCGTTCTCCACCCCCACAGCAGCCTGCACCTGGCTCTTTGCTTCTGTGTTGGAAATGAGCTGTACATGGAGCCTCGACTTTAAGAGAAGCAGATGGAGTCTGATCGATCTGCTTTTATGTCTTTTTTTTTTTTTGGTGGTGGTGGTATTTGTATCAAACCTCCAAAGCTACTTCCATTAGCTCCAAGGAGGTAGTCCTTGAAGAGGACCAGGGGCCCAGCCAGCCGTGCTGAAGTATCCTGGGCAGCTCACGGGCCTGCTTACTCAGCAGGCAGCCTGGTCCAAGTCCGGCTGCTGGTGGCTGGTGGCCTCCGGGGCTGCAGCCTGGTAGGGGCTTGGGCATTCACGCACAGCCCCTGCCACGCTGGGCTTGCTATAGCGACCCAGCAGATGGCTGCAGGTTCATGCCCAGGTTGTCCCTTGGGTCAGCCAGTCTGTCTTCCTGTCGTGACGTTCCTGGGCCCCTTCCATGTGGGAGGCCCTGCGTGTAGTAGCTACACAATTCGCAGTTTCTGAAGTCCTCGAGGCGGCCCACACCCTGCCACGTCTGGGCCTCACGCGGGGATCCAGGGGTGGTTGCCTCTGTCCCCAGCGGTAAAGCGCTCTCGCAGCTGGGCTTTGGGGATGAAGTCAAACGCTCTGTCCACAAACGCCACACTCCCGGTGACTCCTGGCTCGCGCTGATTTCCAGCTGCTGCTCCTAAATTGATTGCAACTAGAGTCCATCGAGTGTCAGTGGCTGTGACACCCATCAGGGACAACACTGCTCGAATAAACTGCAGATGTAGAAGGCAGCTCAGCCCTTGCAGCAACGCTGGTGCACACCCCGGCCCCGGGCTCACCCTGCGTTGGCCCTGCTGCCTCAGGGCGGGGGCCACCCCTGCCCATCATTGCTATTTCTTTATCCAATCACCTGCTTCCCTTTATCCATGCTCTGGAGAGGGCAGCTCACACGCTGAGACAGCTCCATGCCTCCCGGAGATGTCTGTCTGGGGTCCCTGGAGAGGAGACAGCCTGCTTCTCACTGCACGCACCTGCGCCTCCTGGCGAGATTACTGGGGGAACAGTTGTACCCCATCTGGGCCTCAGCTCCCAGCCCCAGCTCCCCAGACCCCAACCCACAGGAGCTATGCTCCGGGTGAGCCTCCATGAGCTCCCGCTTCCTGTGTTTACCTTCACTTTCTGTGGGGACTACAGGAGCCCTGGAGAGTGCTGAAGGCTGCCCACAGGTCACGATGAGATGGGTGAGCTCTGAAGCCCAACCTGGGAGCCTCCCGAGCCAGCGCCCCTCCCCTAGGGGTTACGCTGGAGTCATCTGTCTTAAATACGGAGCTGCCAAGTTTGCTTCAAAGGGTTACAAGTCAGTAGAGACCAAGTTGATGTAAAGATCGGCGTGGAAAGCCAAATATATCCTTGATCTAGATTTGCACAGTTGAAGTCTGGCTGAAGGAGGTTTCTTCTGCCTCGTACCAGCCGGATGCCACAGGGAGCGGCAGGGGCTTTCTGGGGCCAGCGCAGGCAGGTGGGTGCTGCGACCCCACTCTTCTCTCCTCTAAAACCCCTTCCAGGAATTCAGCAGGGGCTGGTGACTCATGAGGAAGCCGTGAGCGGGGAGTGGTGGTTACATAACTCAGCTTAACTCTGAGTTAATCTTCCCAGACTAGCAGGCTCAGGCCAAGCGTGCCGGGCCGGAGCTGGAGGGCCGCTGCTCTTCACCTGCACACCCCAGTTCACTCGGGCCGAGCACCGTCAGGCTGCTGTGCCTTCCCCCGCAGCAGGAGGGGTTGCATCCTCATCTCCCACCCTCTCTCCTCAGAGCGCTGGGGTCAGGGCTGGTCACTGGATGGGGGGCCTGCTCTGGCCCCCATCAGGGCAGTGTGCTGTACCCCAGCGCTGTCCTGTCCGGGGCAGTAGGGGGCTGTCCTGTTCCAGTCCAAGCCCGCCTAGGATGGAGATAAGGATGCAACCCCTCCTGCTGTGGGGGAGGACACAGCAGCCTGCCGGTGATCCGCCTGAGTGAACTGGGATGGGTGTGCGGGGGCGCAGGAGAGGCTGGAGAGGCCGGCCACCCGCCACGCCTCTCTGTGAAGAGCCCGACACAGACAGAGCCGGAAGCCCACTGCTTGTCTGCGGCATCATGAGAGTCAGTAAACGTTGGCAGCATGGCCAGGGAGTGTAGGCCGAGTGGCGATGGAAACTTGTGTGCTTGTGAGGGACACAGTGGCCTGAGCCTTGGGCTTGGGGAGGGCCTCGGGTTGGCCTACGTGCCCGTGTCCAGTGCGTGTTCTGCACAGAGGGCGCTGCTCCACTTCTGTGCCCAGACCTCTCTTCCATGAGGCCCAGGAGCCCCACAGCACTGTTCTGGTGATGGGTACAGGAGGCCGGCATGGCCGGGGCCCTCCGCCCCTCATAGTGGGCAGTGCTCTATGACCCTTCTGGCCCCTGGCACTCTGCTGCCTGCCATTCTGGGATGTCACACTGCCTGTGCTTGACCCCAGGAAGAGGCAGGAGCTTGTGCCCAGGGGCTGAGATGTGGCGTGTGTCTATGGGGACCGCACAGGACTGTGAGCCTCCTGCTTTTGCTGGGAAGTTGCCTGGGACGTGCGGCCTGAGAGTGCCTGGGCAAGGGGCTGGGCCTCGTTCTTTATCCCTTCTCCCTGAGTGCTGGTGTGTAGTCGACATCCGGGAAGTGTCTGGGGCGAGCACGTGTGTCCCTGTGGCACGGTGCCCAGGTGGCCCAGTCCTGCTTTGGTACGTGCTTCTTCCTGACCCTGCACTGAAATCCAGGAAAAAGTTTCCAGCCTTAGGCTTCACTATGCCGCTGACACAGTTAAGGCTTTCTTCAGCGGCACGCTGGTGTCGCGGCGCCGTTAGAG